GAGGACCCCGACGTGCGCCGCCCCCGACCACCGTTGGGGAGACAGGAAACCAGGACAAGACTAAGGGGCATGGGGGACACTGGCGGTGTCCTCGGCAACCGTAGGCCCCCCGCCGAGGAGAAGGGCTCGTTGGCGCCTTCCCCGGCGGGAACCTACCTCCAGGCAGGGCCCTGCTCCGCACAGCGCGAGGAGGGCCCTGCCGCCGGGCTTCCCCCACGCTGCTTGCAACGTCCTTCGCGCTCCTGCGGGGGGATCCGCCGTCCTGAGAGTCCTAGTGGAGGCTGCGTCCTGGTTCACGTGCGATCCATGGTCAGTGTAAGCGTGCCCTTGTGGCGTTAGCTGTACCCAGAGGTTGCAGCCGTTGGAGACGTCGGCAGGTCTTAGTGGTGGTTCGAAGGAGAGCTCGGCCTCATGTATGTACAGCGCCCAGGCTGGCGTGGGGATCGGCTGGGGCCCTCTCCCAGCGCGTGCCTTTGATCCATCGCGACGAGGATGTAGGCTTCCGGGCTGGCCGCGCGAGAGGCGCCGTCCGGCTCCCTTACATCCCCACCTTCTCCAATCGCCCTCTGGTCTTGTGGGCCAGGGGCCGATACTCCAGCGCGGCCCCTGGTGATGTCACCTGGAGCAGCCCTACACCGAGGTAGCACGTTCGGAGGGGTGTGTGCCGCTCCGCGGGGCTGGTCGGCACCGAGAGGCTCTCCAGGGGCCCGGGAAGGGGGCACGTGATTGTGTCGGGGATGAGCGTGCGCCCCCACCTCCGCCTATGACGTGGGTAGGGTGCAGAATGGCGCCGCCCCCTGCACGCCGCATCCAGCAGCTCGGCGACCCGTTCCAGCAGGGCGTCGCGACCACTCTCCAGCAGCATGCACCGTAAGAGCTCTCGGGCCACGATGACCGATGCCCGCATGTTTGCCTGTTCCCTGCGCGTGTGTGGTGCGGTCGCTGCAGCGTAGTTCGCAGACCGCGCGGCGGCGCGGCTGCGGCGCGGCGCCAGTGGAGAAGGTTGCGCCGCGCGCCCTCCTCGGCCAGCCGCCCCTGGCGGAGTGCGGGCCGCGAGCAGGGCGGAGTGGAGGTCCTCCTCATCGGCAGGTGCTGCCGAGGGGGCCTGGACGACCCAGTGCTCGGCGTGCGCCCTCAGAGCGTCGGCCATGGCGTTGGTGGAGCGGCGGAGGCCTGGTCGACGGAAGAGAAGATCCGCACACCCCTACCTGGCGCGCCAAATGTCGGAGTAAGGGATCCGGAAACCCTTGAGAGGTTCGAACTCTGGGGTGCGTGTAGAGATCTCAACCTACCCAGCCTGCCTACTCACGTTCCTCCTAAGCCTAGCGTGTCAAGCTCAAAGAGACAAAGAGACACAACAGTTTATCCTGGTTCGGGCCACCTTGCGGTGTAATACCCTACTCCAGCATTTTGGTGGATTGCCTCGGAGGGCTGGGGATGAACTAGTACAGTGGATGAACTGGCCTCGGGAGGTGAGGTGTTCTTGAGCTCAAGGGAGCTGGTGGGATGTGAATCGGACCCTACTTCTCCCCTATCAGATGCCTCTCTATGGGGGTGGCTAGCCCTATTTATAGTGGCCTTGGTCCTCTTCCCAAATGTTGGCGGGAAGGGATCCTACAACGGCCGGATTTGAAAGGGGGCAAGTAGTACAGCTTATCCTAACAAAAGTAGTCTTCGCCTGCGAAAAGCCTCTGGTCATGACACTGCGGTGGGCTCGTTGATGACCTCCGTCATGTCTTCCTTGCGGTCTTGGTCTCGTTGCACCAGAACAGAAACCTTTGGCTGATTCCTTGGGACTCGTGCATGTGGCTTGCCTCCCTTGCACCGAAGAGGTAACCTGTGCTCTACGTCCGCCTGGCGCCCGCCTGGCCTGGTCGTCATGGCTCACGTCAGTTGAGCCTCATGAGGTGCACCTTGCATAGAACTCCCCGCCCCTCGGGAGCCAGCCTGGTGAGGCCGATCCCCTCGGGGGTCTTGACGTCGTTCGCCTTGCGAGGCTTGGCCCCTCGCGAGGGTCTTGAGTTGTTGATGCTGAAACTGGGCCATACCAGGCCTTCGATTGAGCCACGTGGCGGGCCGCAGGCAGGCAGGGCTGGATACCCCCATATCCAGGACGACGACATTGACATGAGAAAAGCTCTTAGCAAATGAACTACACGATCTTGTGCTATGTTTAGAATTGGGTCTTGTCCATCACATCATTCTCCTAATGATGTGATCCCATTATCAACGACATCCAATGTTCATGGTCAGAAAACCACAACCATCTATTTATCAACGAGCTAGTCAACTAGAGGTTTACTAGGGACATATTACGGTCTATGTATTCACACATGTATTACGGTTTCTGGTTAATACAATTACAGCATGAACAACAGACAATTATCATGAACAAGAAAATATAATAATAACCATTTTATTATTGGCTCTAGGGCATATTTCCAATATTCATGTCATCTCGCTGTAGGCGGGACATATCAATGCCAAGTTTGTCTTAAAAAAATAATCAGCGCCCAAGATCCCTGTTGGAATGCAGAAAATTCAAACAGACCAGTTTATAGATGGGCCTTAGCTTATAGTAGTTGTCTTTTTTTTTGGAAACTTTCAGTCTATTCGTCTTCAATCATGCCAGTACGACGAATACCAGAAATAAAAATTATATCCAGATCATCACTCTGCGCAACTCTTTACCCCTTCTCTCTGCGTGTGTGTGCGGGCGCGCGCGTGTGTGCTGGCAAAAATACACACACGCACGACGCTTTTGAATGAGCTTCCCTCTGGATCTGGCCTAAAGCAGAGTGCAACAATATCAACCGTTCTTGGCAAAATGCTAGCACTGTATTTTAAACGCTCTTTTACTCATAGAGAAATGACTTCTGAAGTTATATATGGTTGACTTGCTAGGGTGTTATTTCGACAATGACATGGACTTGCAAGTTTGCAGTATCTACTCCTCAGCTCGAATTATCCATTGTGAACAGTACAAATAAAAATAGTAAACAAATAAAAAATTCTGATTTTTTTGGTTGCAAACTTTAACAAATGTTTTGTTGCTTACAAAAAGTTATTATAAAATGGTATTCCTAGAAGTCATGGTAAAATGCATTTTGGAGTCTTGATCTTTTTTTTTGCGTGACTTTCACGAATGTTAGTTCAGGTGAAAATTTTCAAGCACTGAGAACAATTGTCAAAGTTTGCACCAAAAGATATCGGATTTTTTTAATTTTATTTCATTTTTTCAGAATTTAATTTCAAGTTCATCCAAAGCTCAAATGAGCTCGGGAGTAGAAGGGTACTTCCGCGATCAGCATCTCTTTCCCCGGGTGATAACTGCTCGACAAAATGTATATGCACACCCAAGAAAGCCTGAAGATACCATCTCTTGAAATAAATGCACGCACACACACCCTACTTCTATGAGCACCTCCGAGAGACTGCGCCGGCACATCATTTTGAGATTGAAGAAGTCGCGACAGATGAGTTCATAGTTGACGGGAATGTCTCATCCACTGAACGCACATCTACGAAAGACCTAAAATAAATTCAAAAAATACGAGTACCAATGTCAAGTCAGTGACTTGAACTATGTTGGGCAGGGGATACCACCGTCCTCATCCAACCACAGGTTGGGTTCGCACGACCCAATTGACGGGCTCATATCTTCGTGCCACCGGGGGAGCAACTAACTAACGGTTACCTTTTGGGGTTCCCGCAAGGGTCACTTTTTTGGTCCAGAAGCGCGCTAGGTGGTGCACCAAGCCGTTGCCATGTGTGGTGTGGTGTGCTGGGCACTCCCTCTACATTTTTTTCTGTACGCATTTTCAGGCTTTAGACTACTTGTTTTTGTTTTTCCGGCTTTCCATTTTTTGTATGGCTTTCCCTGGGTTTTGGTGGTAAAAAACTGATTGTTTTTTAAACACAATTGTGCTTCTCGAAAAAAACACAACTATGTTACCCGCGGAAGCACTGATTTACTTCCGCGAGAGGCAGAGTCTATGCTTCCACATATTTGCTTCCTCGAGAAGCAGAGACTGGACTTCTACCATAAGTGCTTCCCTGGGGAAAAAAGACAAGCACAACATATACTTCCAGAAAAAATGAAAACCATAACTGTGCTTCTGAGCTCCGGTTTTTTAATGAAGTGTGAGTTGTAATAGTTATTTAGTTATTTTTATTATGTATTTTTAAGGCCCAATTTTCCATTTTGCACCGGGCCTCCTAACCTCAATCCACTGCACGCCAACATATATTTTTGTGATTTATTGACGGGGGCTTACATTCGATATCATGTGTACTTGTTTTCGTTTGATTTGAAATCAGTTTTTCTTAGAAATTACTAGCTTAAATATTTCAGTTTCCATCGCCAATGAACCAGCTGAGTCATCGGTCCGACTGATGAAAATCTGAACGACAATGGCGAACGTAGGATCTCAACACTGAGGGGTACCACGGTTTAAAATTTGTGAAAATTTTACACTACATTTTGTGTAATTTGGTATAAACATAATCATAGTTCCAACAAATAATCCCAAAAAGCATTACATTGTTGGATAAGTAGGTTCAATACATTACTACTATTTTTTTTTTTTTTGCATTTTTAGACAGCCTCACTGATTCGGTTGCTTTAAAACTATGCGCACAAGATTCAGCCAAACATAGCACGCTCTGTTCTCTGGAGCGTCCCTGAACCTAGCGGGTGAACAGCCCAGAAGTGGACTTCTACGTCCGTTCAGCGCCGGCTCGGCTCCAAAGTCCAAGCCTAAAAAGCAGAGGAGCTCATCAGCAAATGCGCCGCGTAGCCTAGAACCGTCCACATGACGAGACCTGCAAATCTCATCCGGTAGGAGAGCCATGGACCATATACGGCCTGGGGCTTGGGCGGCGACGGCGTTTGGCAAAGCGCCAAACGGTACGGTTGCGCCGGCCCGGACCACCGTCGGCTCCACCGCCCGCCGCCCCCCAGAGGATTACCGCGCACACGAGTCCTTTTCGCGCGCCGAATGATTTTTGATCTAGCACGTTCCCGCGGTTTCCCTCCACAGTTGAACATTGCCCTCGCCAGGATTAATAATCTTTCCCATTCTCTTTGGGGTTGCTTTGCCTTTGCTCCCATAAATTCTTTCCGTCCGCCCCGTGTTGCTTCCCGACCAAGTCTGCAGCTTCCTCTCCTCGCCAGCAAGATCGCGGATTCCATTCCGTCCAGATTTCCTTCTCGATCGCACTCACAGCCTAGCCTAATAGCCGATCACACAAACCCGGCCCTCCGTAGCCCGAGACCCCAAGTCACGCACAAATTTTCTTCATCTTCTCGCGCAATGGCGGAGCCTGCTCCTGCTCCGGCGCAGCCAAGAACCGCCGGTGACGATGTTATTTCTGCCAGGTTGCAGCGGGCTCTGGAGCTCTTGTTCCCGTCTAACCTCGCCGGGAAGGCGGTGCTGTTCGCCGTCGTGGTGGCGCTGCTGCGGATGCTGCCCACGAGCCAGACCCCCGGGATCTGGGACCTGCCGCACATCCTCCTGCTCGGCCTCGTCATCTCCTACGGCGTCTTCGGCCAGAGGAACGCCGACGCCGATGTGGTGCCCCCGGTGGCCCCTTCTTCCAGGATCGTCGACGACGACGAGTCCGTGGAGGCCTTCGTCTCCCAGATACTGCAAGGGCCGCTGGTCTTCGAGGGGAACAGCGGCGACGGAGGCAGCAGCGGCGCCAAGGACGGCAGCGTGCAGGCGTGGAGCTCGCAGTACTACCCCGACGATGCCCTCGTAGTAGTCGCCGACACGGGCGACGCTGGCGAGAAGCCGATTCTCCTGCCGGTGAGGAAGCTCAAGCCATTGGCCGAAGAATCTGCACCGGGCAATGTAAGTGATGACGCTACCGATGAAGAAGCAGAGTTCCTCCCCAAGGAAGAAATAGGATACGGCGGCGCGCGCGAACACGCCATATCTTCGCCGTCCTCCGTCCTCGACGCCGGCAAGACCCTCTCGCCGTCCTCGCCTCCTCCCCCGCCGCCTCCGCCGCAGTTTCGTGGCGGCGCGCGTGGCCTCGGGAAGGCCAGAGCAAGAAGCTTCAACGAATATGGGGTTGCAGACATGAGCATGAGCGCACGGACGGGTTTACGAAGCAGGTTCAGGTCAAACTCTTCGATCCAAGCAACGAGGAGGAGCACTTTCACCGGCTACGATCCTGTTGCCCCGTCCGACGATCAAGCGGACGCAGATGATGAGGTTGACGACATGGCCGCGGCCTCGGACAGCTCGTTCAGCAGCGACGACATGGCCAGGGACGGCGACGATGAACACGACGAGGAGGAAGACAACTACGAAGAAGACGGAGACGAGGAGACGCGGGAAGGTGACAACTCTTGCGACGAAGGGCTTTTTGAGCTGGCGACGAGGCCCGAGGCGGAGGAGGACGAGGTGGACAAGAAGGCTGACGAGTTCATAGCCAAGTTCAGGGAGCAGATTAGGATGCAGCGAGCTCAGCCGGGGCCGGGCAGAAGATGAGCCATCTCATGTGTAATGCACCGCATTTTAATGTTTTTTTTCCTTCTTTTGATTGCTCTCATGTAACTACAACCTGAACAAATGGTGTCAACCAGTGGAATAAGAGTGTGCGGGATATTGTGCGCATCCTCTTTTTCTCACAACTTGTTTGATAAAGCACATTTTATTGACTCTTTGACAACATAGCAAAAGCATAACCACAAAGAGGGGGAGTTTGAAAAGGTTGATTTTTGGTCTCTCAACATATCGACTTGTGCAGTTTTTGTCACTCAACTTCAAAATCAAACAACTTTTTTGCGAAGCTAAACTACACAACTTGCACCTGAACTTTTCAAACCAGACAAGTTTGGTCCTTCGACCCTGCTTTCAATGCTAACTCAATGTGGTTTGGACCAATTGTCGTCCACGTGCCAATGTATCTCTTCCCTGCTCAGTGGCCTTCAAATGAGCCAGACTTTCTTCTCTCTCCATTTTGCGGGCTGGAACTAAATGAGGCCGGACTGATGAGATGGAGGCAGCGCACCATTGTGACATCGATGACTGCGTAGGATACATCGCCTAGTACGGTGGAGATTCGATATATTGTGTAGGATCCATGACTTCTCATATCTCTACTAGTGCATAAAGAAAAGAAATCTTTCACATCTGCCATTTATGATGGCAATTGTGCTTCAAAGATGAGTATTGGTGTTGGGCACAGGATTCAAATCTTCACGGTTCCATGCCAAACACTCTAACAAGGTGGCTTCGGGATCCGCCCTTCTCTCTTAAGAGAAGTATTGGATGTTGGAAATATGCCCTAGAGGCAATAATAAAATGATTATTATTATATTTTCTTGTTCATGATGATTGTCTATTATTTATGCTATAATTATATTAACCGGAAACAGTGATACATGTGTGAATACATAGACCACAACATGTCCCTAGTGAGCCTCTAGTTGACTAGCTCGTTGATCAACAGGTAGTCATGGTTTCCTGACTATGGACATTGGATGTCATTGATAACAGGATCACATCATTAGGAGAATGATGTGATGGACAAGACCCAATCCTAAGTATAGCACAAGATCGTGTAGTTTGTTTGCTAAAGCTTTTCTAATGTCAAGTATCATTTTCTTAGACCATGAGATCGTGTAACTCCCGGATACCGTAGGAGTGCTTTGGGTGTACCAAACGTCACAACGTAACTGGGTGGCTATAAATGTATACTACAGGTATCTTCGAAAGTGTCTATTGGATTGACACGGATCGAGACTGGGATTTGTCACTCCGTATGACGGAGAGGTATCTCTGGGCCCACTCGGTAATGCATCATCATAATGAGCTCAATGTGACCAAGTGGTTGGTCACGGGATCATGCATTACGAAACGAGTAAAGTGACTTGCCGGAAACGAGATTGAACGAGGTATTGGGATACCGACGATCGAATCTCGGGCAAGTAACGTACCTTGTGACAAAGGGAATTGTATACGGGATTACTTGAATCCTCGACATCGTGGTTCATCCGATGAGATCATCGTGGAACATGTGGGAGCCAACATGGGTATCCAGATCCCGTTGTTGGTTATTGGCCGGAGAGCTGTCTCGGTCATGTCTGCGTGATTCCCGAACTCATAGGGTCTACACACTTAAGGTTCGGTGACGCTGGGGTTATTAGGAAGACTTGTATGTGATTACCGAATGTTGTTCGGAGTCCCGGATGAGATCCCGAACGTCACGAGGAGTTCCGGAATGGTCCGGAGGTGAAGATTTATATATGGGAAGTTGTAATACGGTCACCGAAAAAGTTCGGGGGCATACCGTTATTGTACTGGGGCCACCGGAAGGGTTCCGGGGGTCCACCGGGAGGGGCCACCTCTCCCGGAGGGCCTCATGGGCCGTAGAGGGAAGGGAACCATCCCTTAAAGGGCTGGGTGCATCCCCCCCTTGGGCCCATGCGCCTAGGGTTGGGGGGGAAACCCTAAAGGGGGCGCCCCCCTTGCTTGGGGGGCAAGTCCCCCCCCCCCTTGCCCCCCTCTAGATCTCATCTAGAGGGGGCCGGCCCCCTTCCACCTCCCCCTATAAATAGAGGGGCGAGGGGAGGGCTGCACACACACCTCCAAGGCGCAACCCCTCCCCTCCCCAACACCTCTCCTCCTCCACAAAAGCTTGGCGAAGCCCTGCCGGAGTACTGCCTCTCCATCACCACCACGCCGTCGTGCTGCTGCTGGAGATCTCTTCCTCAACCTCTCCCTCCTCCTTGCTGGATCAAGGCGCGGGAGACGTCTCCGCTCCGTACGTGTGTTGAACGCGGAGGTGCCGTCCGTTCGACGCTAGGATCATCGGTGATTTGGATCACGACGAGTACGACTCCATCAACCCCATTCTTGAACGCTTCCGCTCGTGATCTACAAGGGTATGTAGATGCATCTCTCTCTCTCGTTGCCAGATGACTCCATAGATAGATCTTGGTGATGCGTAGAAAATTTTTGTTTTCTGCAACGATCACCAACAGTGGCATCATGAGCCAGGTTTATGCGTAGTTTCTATGCACGAGTAGAACACAATTTTGTTGTGGGCGTAGATTTTGTCAATTTACTTGCAACTACTAGTCTTATCTTGTTTCGGCAGCATCGTGGGATGAAGCGGCCTGGACCGACCTTACACGTACGCTTACGTGAGATAGGTTCCACCGACTGACATGCACTAGTTGCATAAGGTGGCTAGCGGGTGTCTGTCTCTCCCACCTTAGTCGGATCGAATTCGATGAAAAGGGTCCTTATGAAGGGTAAATAGAAATTGGCATATCACGTTGTGGTTTTGACGTAGGTAAGAAACGTTCTTGCTAGAACCCTATTGCAGCCACGTAAAAACATGCAACAACAATTAGAGGACGTCTAACTTGTTTTTGCAGCATATGCCTTGTGATGTGATATGGCCAAAACGATGTGATGAATGATATATATGTCATGTATGAGATTGATCATGTTCTTGTAATAGGAATCACGACTTGCATGTCGATGAGTATGACAATCGGCAGGAGCCATAGGAGTTGTCTTAATTATTGTATGACCTGCGTGTCATTGAATAACGCCATGTAATTACTTTACTTTATTGCTGAACCGTTAGCCATAGTAGTAGAAGTAATCGTTGGCGTGACAACTTCATGAAGACACAATGATGGAGATCATGGTGTCATGCCGGTGACGATGATGATCATGGCACCCCGAAGATGGAGATCAAAAGGAGCAAAATGATATTGGCCATATCATGTCACTATTTGATTGCATGTGATGTTTATCATGTTTTTGCATCTTATTTGCTTAGAACGACGGTAGTAAATAAGATGATCCCTCATAACAATTTCAAGAAAGTGTTCCCCCTAACTGTGCGCCGGTGCGAAAGTTCGTTGTTTCGAAGCACCACGTGATGATCGGGTGTGATAGATTCTAACGTTCACATACAACGGGTGTAAGACAGATTTACACATTCAAAAACACTTAGGTTGACTTGACGAGCCTAGCATGTACAGACATGGCCTCAGAAAACAAGAAATTGAAAGGTCGAACATGAGTCGTATAGAAGATACGATCAACATGAAGATGTTCACCGATGATGACTAGCCCGTCTCACGTGATGATCGGACACGGCCTAGTTGACTCGGATCATGGATCACTTAGATGACTAGAGGGATGTCTATCTGAGTGGGAGTTCATTAAATAATTTGATTAGATAAACTTAATTATCATGAACTTAGTCTAAAATTTTTGCAATATGTCTTGTAGATCAAATGGCCCACGCTAATGTTGCCCTCAACTTCAACGCGTTCCTAGAGAAAACCAAGCTAAAAGACGATGGCAGCAACTACACGGACTGGGTCCGGAACTTGAGGATCATCCTCATAGCTGCCAAAAGAGCATATGTCCTAGATGCACCGCTAGGTGAAGCACCCATTTTCCCAGCAACTCAAGACGTTATGAGCGTCTGGCAGTCGCGTAGTGATGATTACTCCCTGGTTCAGTGCGGCATGCTTTACAGCTTAGAATCGGGGCTCCAAAAGCGTTTTGAGAAACGCGGAGCATATGAGATGTTCCAAGAGATGAAAATGGTTTTCCAAGCTCATGCCCGGGTTGAGAGATATGATGTCTCCGACAAGTTCTACAGTTGTAAGATGGAGGAGAATAGTTATGTCAGCGAGCACATACTCAAAATGTCTGGGTACTACAACCGCTTGTCTCAGCTGGGAGTTAACCTCCCAGATGATGCGGTCATTGACAGAATCCTTCAGTCGCTCCCACCAAGCTACAAGAGCTTTGTGATGAACTACAATATGCAGGGGATGGTGAAAACTATTCCTGAGGTATTTTCAATGCTGAAATCAGCGGAGGTAGAAATCAAAAAGGAACATCACGTGTTGATGGTCAATAAAACCACTAGTTTCAAGAAAGGCAAGGGTAAGAAGAACTTCAAGGACGGCAAGGGAGTTGCCGCGCCCGGTAAGCCAGTTGCCGGGAAGAAGCCAAAGCATGGACCCAAACCTCACACTGAGTGCTTTTATTGCAAGGGAAGCGAACACTGGAAGCGGAACTACCCCAAATACTTAGCGGATAAGAAGGCCGGCAACACCAAAGGTATATGTCATATACATGTTATCGATGTCTACCTTACCAGTACTCGTAGTAGCTCCTAGGTATTTGATACCGGTGCAGTTGCTCATATTTGTAACTCAAAACATGAGCTGCGGAATAAGCGGAGACTGGCGAAGGACGAGGTGACGATGCGCGTCAGGAATGGTTCCAAGGTTGATGTGATCACCGTCGGCACACTACCTCTACATTTACCTACGGGATTAGTTTTAAACCTCAATAATTATTATTTAGTGCCAGCTTTGAGCATGAACATTGTATCTGGATCTCGTTTAATACGAGATGGCTACTCATTTAAATCCGAGAATAATGGTTGTTCTATTTATATGAGAGATATGTTTTATGGTCATGCCCCACTGGTCAATGGTTTA